TTCTCCATAGAAAGCAAAATCAATTAAAATTTTGTGCTTATAACCCAAACCTTAGTCACTGTTCCACTCATCTTTCACCTTTTATTTGCCTTTTTACTTATCCAGTGCACAACATAACTTTAAGGTCCTCTGTAACAGCACTGCCCATCCGATGGTACGTACGATTCATCCCCTTTGCCCCCCCCCCCCCCACCCACCCCCGAAAAAAAAAATAAAAAAAAGAAGAAGAAGAAGAAGAAAAAGCAAATACTAAGGGTCCGCTTGGCCATGAAATTTTTTTCACGTATTTCGAAAAAATTCGTTTTTTCTTAAATCAGTGTTTGGCCATAAAATTTTCAATTTTCACTTGAAAATGAACTTTGGAATTTTTCAAAAATTTAAAAACTCCAAAAAACTATTTTTTAAAATTTTGACTCAAAATTACTCACAAAAATTCAAAAATAACGCGAAATTATATTCATATCCAAACACAACTCTAATTTTCAAATATCATTTTCATTTTTTTGAAATTTTACAATTCTTATGTCCGAACACCCACTAAGTATTAATTATAAGAAGTAAATCAGCCAAGTGGATGAAAGAGTTGTTGATTTATTACTAAGCAGTAATCAAGGAGCGTCAATAAATTCGTAAAAATTGCTCGTGTGGTCCAGTCGAGGTACTGGAGATTAACTGACCCTTGTTAAACAATTATCACTCGGCTTGGCTTAACTACTTAAGTGGTCGATACATATAAATAAAAAAGTAGTATGTATTTGGATAAAAGTTACATTATTCAACAATGATCACAATTTCACTAACTACCGTTACAAAAGAGGAAAGCAATGAAAAATAGGCTGAGAAATATTCACCTGATCATTTTCTGTCCGCTATCATATTTATTTATGTAGAATATTATATTGGGCATCTTCTCACGGGTGATGATTCTCTTTGGAACATGGCTACTTCTTGTCTGTCTATAGCAGTCACCTTTCGATTTTTCCTATATACAACTTCTCCATTACTGTTTGTTATTTTGTCTTAGCCCACTAAACCAATTGACCATGTCTTTCTCTGCATTTTCTTCTTCTTCTCCTCTCACCATTTTTATGCTCCTCTTCTTTTTCCTCATTTTACATTCCTCCAATTCTTTGCTCAACTCCCCATCCATCAATGCCACCCTCCGACGACAGCCTCGACAACTCACCGTTAATTACTATGCCAAGACTTGTCCTAAAGTTGAAATTCTCGTTGGCTCAGTAACCTCCCAGATGTTCAAAGATGCCCCGGCCTCTGGCCCAGCCACCATTCGCCTCTTCTTTCATGATTGCTTTGTTGAAGTAAGTCACAATTCCTATAATCTACTAGTAGCTTCTTTCACCAGAATATGAATTCTATATGTGCTAGGTTCAAATTCTAAATGATTTCTTTCTGTCTGCGTAAGTCTTAGTGGACAGAAGTATTTGGTACCTGTATTGGTGTGTGAGATAGTATGCAGGTACTTAATGTAATATTCGAGCTATACCAAGTTGATCTAGACATTTAAAAAAAATATATGAATTCTCATTGTGCTACATTTTGGCTTGTGAATTGTTTTTCATTATGTTTATGTAATTGAATGCAGGGGTGTGATGGGTCAATATTGATATCAACTAAACCAGGAAGCAAGGAATTAGCAGAGAAAGATGCAGAAGATAACAAGGATTTAGCTAAGGAGGCATTTGAGGGCATAAACAAAGCCAAAGCTGTGGTGGAAAGCAAGTGTCCCGGTGTTGTTTCATGTGCAGACATTCTTGCCATTGCTACCAGAGATTTTGTCCACTTAGTAAGTAAATCAAATACTTCAGAAATTAGTCTACTAATTTAAGTGGCATAGCTCCATTGTCATGGTAATCATGGTCCTCATCTAACGTTGTAGAAGAAGAAAAAGAGTATTTTCGTGGGATGGTTTTTGGGTTTCAGTCCGTCAGCATTTTTTTTTTTTTTTTATGTCAGCAGTTTAAATACCAGAAGATTAAGGTTTTTCTTGATTAGCATTTCACATGCAACTTCAGAATTCTCAAAATTCGAAAGTCTGTGGCTAAAATTCATACTTTAAGAAAGCCCCAACCACGAAGACAAAGTGACCTGGTTCAGATGTTTAGGTTGTTGATTATCTCATAAGTTCGTCACTTTCCAAGATAATAATGTGCTATATTCCCATTTTTTCACATTTTTATGTTTTTTTGCTAATTAAAAAAAATGGATACTCCTCCCATCCTTAGTAAGTGACATTTTAGCCTTTTTGTTACCCTTATTTAGATATCCCAATATGTCAAGGTAACAATAAATTAAGGGTAATTTAGTGAATACTTTTTGTCTCTCTAGAAATTCGTATTTTCTTAAGTGGTGTGTCAAAGACTAAAAAATCATTTGTTATGGACAAGAGGGAGTAATAAATTTAGAAGTTTTTACCTCTTATTTAAAGTAAGAAAAAGTCCCGAATCAAAATACATGAGTATCTTGAATTATTTCTCAATAGTTAAATGATGTTAATATGTCAAAGTTGGTAGTTTTACGTTATTCTCCAATAGATGTACAGTTCTTAACTTATTCCTATTTTTCGCTTCCTCGGCCCTATTGCCCCTTTTCTTTTCGTACCTAATTTCGTATGTAAGGCACCACAAAATAAAAAGGAAAGAGTCATTTGGCCTGTTTCTTTTTCATCGAAATTGTCTCCTTCTCATGTCATCTGCAGAAATCTAATGCGTGATATCAAGATGTCTTATCCCTCTATCCAAATTTTATGAGAAGAATCAAACGGTTCTCGAATGATTAATATATAGGGAACAAAAGTCCAAAATCGTGATTTTTTTTTACATATAAAAGCTCAAAATAGCTGTCCAAGTTTTGGCATGATTATGTAATGAGAAGCAAGACAAAGGTCACATTTGTCATCTATATATTGTATGTTGTTTCAGAAGATTTGAGTTTCTCCAAGCTAATGTACAAAATTGCAATAAACATGGCTCATTTGATAGTAAAGACCTGATCATACATGTGAGCTACATATTTTAATGTAATTCCGTGGGCTCCAAAATGAATTCTTGGGATAATAACAAGGTTTTGACTTGTCTTTCTTTGAGAGCCACACTGTATGATTTGAAGAAGGGGCAAATCGTTAGAATTGTCCCACCAACTGTTGTCACCTTTTGCTCCACATTGACTTCTGATCGGCCAAACAACAATAGACTACGGCAATGGAATATTATAATCTCATGAAATTGGAAAATTAGCAAGTTTTATAGACATTGACAGTATAGGGTTACTTGTAAATTAACTACAATGATCTGTTGTCGTGTATAGCCTCATGGAGAAATGCAGGGTAAGACTGACCCTTGTGGTCCGACCCTTCCCCGGACACACCGCATACCGGGATGCATTTTTTGTTGTTGCCGTATATCAAATCACATTATGTAACAAAATTGTTTATATCATCAGTGTATATAATTGAATGAATTTCCTAATAAATTTAAGTTATTATACTTTAATGGCATCAAAAATTTGTATACTATTAGTGTAATTTAACATGTGTAATAGCATTTAAATATCGTCTCTACAAAATTATTAACTAATGTTAATTATAAAAATTTACTTATAATTACTTTATAAGAGATCTAATTATATAAATTTATATGTTATAGCCTAATGTCATATTAATTTATATGCTTTGAATAGGTTGGAGGACCATATTATCAAGTGAAGAAAGGAAGATGGGACGGAAAAATATCAAAGGCATCAAGAGTGCATCAAAATCTTCCCCAATCAAACTCAACAGTGGACCATCTTTTGAAAATCTTTTCCTCAAAAGGACTCACACCAGAAGACCTCGTGGTTCTCTCCGGGGCACACACCATTGGTTTTGCACATTGCAAACAATTTGTGAACAGACTCTATGACTACAAAGGGACCAAGAAACCTGACCCTTATATGGATCCTAGGCTTCTCAAGGCACTCAAAATGTCATGTCCACAATTTGGTGGCAATGTTGATATTGTAGCACCATTTGATGTGACAACTCCTTTCTCATTTGATAATGCTTATTATGGGAATTTGGAGGCTAAGTTGGGATTGCTAGCTTCTGATCAAGCTTTGTCTTTGGACCCTAGAACCAAGTCTTTTGTTCAAGATTTTGCAAAGGATAAGCATAAGTTTTTTCAAGCTTTTGCTGCTGCTATGGAGAAAATGGGAAATATTGGGGTGAAAAGGGGAAGAAAGCATGGGGAATTTAGAAAGGATTGCACTATGCATATGTGAGTCTTTGGTTGTTGGATCTAATTTCTCCTAATTCTTCATTTTTTTTCATTTGATTATTATTTCTAGCTTTTGGTCCTTTTCTTTTTCTTCTTTTTTTATACTTTAATATCATCATAGTACACATCTATGATATCTCCACGGGGACAGGGGAATGGAGAGTGAGATAGTGACTAAAAGCAAAGAAAAGAAAAAACTTTTTCTTTCTGTTATTTCTTTTGGCCTCCTCAAAGTATTAACGGGCGATTTTTATTTTCATTATTACCGGGTGATTGGAGTTGTCTTTCTCAGTCGTCTGTAAATTAATGATGATTTTCTCTCTTTCTCCTTTATTTAATTTTTTTTTATTTTTTCCCGTTAATACATTCAGAATGGATTCCCCAATTTGACCCTTGGTATTAGCATGACAAAAATTAGGTTAATTTTATGTACGATCACTCATTTTTTTACGCTATTGCATTAAAGTTGCTAAATCATTTTTTGGTCGCAAAAATCACTAAATTATTTTTGTAACTAAAAAAACACTCATGTATACTTAAATACCATAGAAAGTTATTAGGAGAGAAGTTAATAATTAGGCAAAGTTGGAAAGACTTTTTTGTCACAAAGATAAATATATAATTTGCGTGATATATAGATAAAATTGAGTTATTCTTTTGTTACAATTTTCTTGTCGCACAAAAAAATAAAAACAAAAATAGTAAACTTTCTAATCTTTAATTTTCTTTTCTTGGCAACCAAATTAGTATATCGGCATTGGTTATGAAAGTCAAAATGTCAAAACCATTTTGCTCCTTCCTTAAGTTTGAACTAATATAAGAAGGAAAACTCAAATAACCCGAATATTGCGCCGTAATCGGACGCCTCACTTGTCGCCGGCGACGGAGATCCAAAATGAGGGCTGTAGTTCAGCGTGTTGTTTCAGCCAGTGTAGAGGTGAACCCTTGAATAATTTTTTTCTATTTATATAGCTAGGAATAATGGCGCTCACTACTTACCTAGCGCATAATAGCAATTTTGCAGGTAGAAGGGCGTATAGTATCAGCAATCGGGCCGGGCTTGCTGGTTCTGGTCGGGCTTCATGAATCTGACGTTGACTCTGATGCTGACTACATGTAAGTTAACTGTGATAGTAAAAATTGATACTTTGAAATGCTTAATAGTAGGAAATATTTTCTAAAGCGAATTCAAATTTTCCTTTCGTTTTGTCTACTTGGTTCCGTTAATGTTTGTAATTTGCAGATGTCGCAAAGTGTTAAATATGAGATTGTTCCCAAATGAGGAAACTGGAAAGACATGGGATCTCAGTGTAATTTTCTCTCTATTTTAATCTCTGTTGTGGTTGTTAATTAATATTTACAACAATTTACTCCCTCTGTTTCATTTTCTATGGAATTCATTTTGTATGGGATTGTTTGACGGGGCAAGGAGTTTAAAATTTTATTTTGACTTGTGTATTTTATAGTAATTGCGGAAGAATAATACTGAAGTAATGAATGAATAGTCATTTTGATAGGGAAATATTCACATCAAAATTTAAAACTTGAATAGTTAAATGAACTTTTGAACTCTTGCAAGTTATAAAAGTCCAATGAAGTGGTGTCAAGTGTTCTGCAGCATTTCACAATGGAAAGAGTGTTATATAACTTGAAACGGGTTTAGTTTATATTTTATGATCAATTCATTTATTCGTTCTGTCCATGTAGTTCAGAAACTTCTCGCTGTAGAGTGAACACCTTAATTATGAGTTTCTATTGCTATATGACGGAATTGCATATTTACTTCACGCCTTGTATAATATGTGTGGTTTCCAAGTGCTGACTTTTAGTACTGTCAGCTTCCTGTTTAGTAAGCATTACTAACTGACTGTCCGATTTCAACAACAATAAAAAAAAATCAGTGTAGTTCCACAAGTGGGGTCTGGGGAAGGTAGTGTGTACGCAAATCTTACTCCTACCTTTAAGAAGGCGAAGAGGCTGTTTCCAGTAGACCCTCAACTCAAGAAAGATAAAAAAAGGAAGGAGCAGCAACAAGCAATAACACCAGCAAACCAATCAAAAAACCGAAGTGAAAGAAACAAGTAATAACAGAAATATAAGAATAAGAATTTGCAAGACTAACACTAAGTAATGCACTAAAATTATTGGTAAGAGCAAGGACAACGCTCGGCTACCTTATCCTCTACCTTAATTCTCAACCTTCACACCTTCCTATCCAGGGTCATGTCTTGCCTAATCGCCATGTCTGATTTGGAATCGAAAATTATTGCTTGAGTAAGTGTTTTATTTTTCTTTCAAAAATTTACCTCCTAAGCTAGTTGAACCTTAGAAGTTTACCAGCGATAAGCATTGGCACAGAAGAGTTCATCTCATGACATGAACAGTTAGCTCTGTCACAAGTGTATGCCATTTCCAATTTATTACACGAAAAGAAAGAGCGGAATATATAGAGGATTCGTATCATCAGCCCCAACTAGGTTGGTCTTTAAACTCTTGAAACAAGACTAATTTGGATATTTTACCATATTGGTTATTCTGGGTTTGGGGATTTATGAGTATAGAATATCGTTATTCCATTTCATATCTCCGACGTCAGGTATTCTGATGCAAGATAAATGATGGTACTGTTGCATGGCTTGGACATTTAGAAAAAGAGAACTGTATTATTTACTGTTCAAAACTGACACTTACTTTTGCGTCATTGCTTCAGTATTAAGTTTACTGGCTTCTATTGTCCATTGGCAGGTAGTTCAGAAGAGTTATGAAATTCTGTTAGGTAACTGCTTTCTTTACAAGTTGTCACAATGGTCAAAGTCTTAACAATGATGCTTCGAAAGTTTCTATGACGGGAAAATAATTTAAAATGACTTTAAAGATGATGCTTTGACTATCTCAATGATTGGAAAATAAGTTAAAACTTTGATCAGGGCGGTTTACTTGTATGTCTAATACTGTTGGATGATGCAGTGAGCCAGTTCACACTATATGGGATTTTGAAGGGAAACAAGCCAGATTTTCATGTTGCAATGCCTCCTGAAAAAGCAAAACCCTTCTATGCCTCTTTGGTTGAGAAATTCCAGAAAGCTTACAAACAGGATGCAGTCAAAGGTGAATAATTTTCTTTTCAGTAAATTCTCAGTTTTGATCTCCTTTTTTGGTAGTGATAGTCCATGGATGTAGAAAGAAGGAGGTAGCAGAAATTTAGAGCGGAATTTCCCTTTTAAACTAAAGAAATTTTGTGTGGATTTGCTTAAATATGTTTTAATCCATAATGGCGTGATATATAGTATCTAGCCCCTGCTTTGAGAAAAAGCATTAAACAATAATTTCCTCAGACTAAAATACTTATATCATTGTATCTGGAATATAAGACCAAACTTCTCCAGCCATTATGAGATGCTCTGCTATGTATTTGAAGTGTTTGGATGAGTATTTAATGCCTAAGCTTTTCACTTGTTGCGTTCAACATCATCCATGCAGTTATAGTAATGACATCTGATAACTACTCCGAAATAAGGATGTTGGTTTTGCATCTGTGGTTTTCCCCTATCAACTATCTCATTGTTGAGGCTCTTACATTTGCTCGATGTTGAAAATCATCAAATGCATGGATCCATATAGATCTTAAAGCTGAACAATTATCTGCTTCCTTTTAATAACTCCAATTCTTGAAAAAATTCTAGTGTCTGTAAGCAACAACATAATTCTTCATTGGTATCACTGTTCTCTTGAGATGGTTTTCTGGCTTCTTGTGTATGCACAAAGAAGTTATAGTTCTCTCGACAATGGTCAAAAATTGACTGGCTTTGATGCTATTGTTAAGACTGATGAGGCCTATATATTGCATCCTCTTTTTTTCTGGTCTTACTAGTTTAGTCACCTTAGTAAGGTCCAGAACATAGCTACTTGACTAAAATGCTTAATGGTATGGGGTCTCAAAATGCGTTGGTGAATAATGAATCCACAGGAGAAACTTCTGCACTCTTTTCTTTTCTTTTCTTTTTTCTTTTTGAGAAAGAAACTGTATATACGAGGTGCCCATCTATATTAATTTTTTGTTTCTTTTTGTGTTTTATTGCAGATGGAATCTTTGGAGCAATGATGAAGGTTAGATTCCCTGAAAAGATTAGTACGACTTTTAGCTTTATAAAATCTCTGTTGAACCGGGCAGCTGTGCTCAGACTTGTGTGTGTTTAATTTGGCAGGTCAACTTGGTTAATGATGGTCCTGTTACGATGCATCTTGATTCGGCACAACCGTCAAAATGAGACATGAGGCAATTGATTTTTTTTTTTAGCAGTTTGGATTATAAATCTCATATTCTGAAAGGCAACGAGAATTGTTGGGGTTATTCATTCATACATTTTTGTAACCTGAAATCTCGAAAGGAGTTAAAAGGGGGGAAAGAAGAACAGTTTCTTCCCCTACCTTTTGGAGAAGAAATGTAAAGAAAGTACCCAGTGGAATTTTATTATTCATACATGATTATACTCCAATCTCTTTCATTTGGATTATAGTGTCATAGATATGAATTTTCAGTTTATGGCTGTTATCACTTGTTTAAATAGCTGGAAGCCTAATTGGATAGTACATTGCACCAATATAATGGAGAACATCCCGCAAATTTGGCTAACATTTTTTATTTGGTGCAAAAGATAAAGTGAGAGCATGTCCTCGGGGGGAGCGGGCGGAGCGGGGGGTAGAGGGTAAGGGTGGCAGAGGGGGTAAGGCACCTTCTAGGTTGAGAGTGGGGTCATGGAACATAGCGACTCTACGGGGAAGTCTATAGAGTTAGCAAAGATACTCCATAAGAGGAAGATTAACATAGCTTGTGTCTAGGAGACTAGATGGGTGGGGAACAGGGCTCGGGAGGCGGATGGTTTTAAGTTGTGGTATTCAGGGAGGGTGAGAGGGAAGAACGGGGTAGGCATTTTAGTTGATAAGGATCTAAGGGAGCTAGTGGTTGAGGTTAAGAGGGAGGGGTATAAGAAGGCTAGGAAGGAGGCGAAGTTGGCGGTTACTGTGGCTAAGGCCGCCGCATTTAGTCGTCTATACGAACAAATTGGGGATAAAAGCGGGGACAAGAAGTTGTACAGGCTAGCGAAGGTGAGAGAGCGGAAGGCCCGGGATCTGGACCAAGTGAGATGCATAAAAGATGAGGAGGGAAGAGTTTTATTGTAGGGGGCACAGATTAGGCAGAGATGGCAGTCTTACTTCCATAGGCTCTTGAATGAAGAGGGAGATAGGGGCATTGTGCTGGGGGAGTTGGAGTACTCGGAAGGGCAGCAAGATTTTGGGTATTGTAGACGTATACGAGTGTGGGAGGTTGTATGGGCTACGCGCAGGATGAGTAGGGGTAGAGCGACGGGGCCGGACGAGATCCCGGTGGAATTTTGGAAGAGCGTGGGTAAGGAGGGCTTGGAATGGCTTGCTAGGTTGTTTAACGTCATTTTTAGGATGAAGAAGATGCCCGAAGAGTGGAGGCGGAGTACGATGATCCCGTTGTACAAGAACAAAGGGGATGTCCAAAATTGCAACAACTATAGGGGTATCAAGTTGTTAAGCCATACGATGAAAGTGTGAGAGAGGGTGATTGAAGGGAGGTTGAGGAGGTGTGTGTCCATTTCCGAGAACCAGTTTGGTTTCATGCCGGGATGGTCGACCACCGAGGTCATTCATATTGTGAGGAGATTGGTGGAGCAGTTTAGGGCGGTGAAGAAGGATTTGCACATGGTGTTCATTGACCTGGAGAAGGCCTAAGACAAAGTCCCCAGAGAGGTTCTATGGAGATGTTTGGAGGCTAGAGGAGTGCCTGTAGCGTATATTAGAGTGATTCAGGACATGTATAATGGAGCTAAGACACGGGTTAGGACAGCAAGAGGAGACTCGGATTACTTTCCGGTTGAGATGGGGTTGCATCAGGGATCAGCACTTAGCCCGTTTTTGTTCTCCCTGGCGATGGATTCTTTGACACGTCACATTCAAGGGAGGTGCCTTGGTGCTTGTTATTTGCGGATGACATAGTCCTGATTGATAAGACGCGAGGTGGCGTTAACGAGAGGCTGGAGGTCTGGAGACATACCCTGGAGTCTAAGGGTTTCAAGTTGAGCAGGACCAAGACAGAATACTTGGAGTGCAAGTTCAGCGGTGTTACCCAGGAGGCGGACGGGGATGAGAAACTCGATACGCAAGTCATTTCCAGGAGAGAGAGTTTCAAGTACCTAGGATCTATAATTCAGAAGGATGGGGAGACAGATGAGGATGTCACACACCGTATCGGAGCAGGGTGGATGAAGTGGAGGCTCGCTTCCGGTGTCTTGTGTAATAAGAATGTGCCGTTGAGACTTAAGGGTAAGTTCTACAAGGTAGTGGTTAGACCGACTATGTTGTATGGGGCAGAGTGTTGGCCAGTCAAAAACTCCCATATTCAGCAGATGAAGGTAGCGGAAATGAGGATGTTGAGATGGATGTGTGGGCCTACTAGGTTGGATATAATTAGGAATGAAGTTATTCGAGATAAGGTGGGAGCGGCCCCTGTGGAGGCGAAGATGCGTGAGGCAAGGTTGAGATGGTTCGGGCATGTTAAGAGGAGAAGCGCAAATGCCCCTGTCAGGAGATGTGAGAGGTTGGACTTAGGAGGTGAGAGGAGGGGTAGAGGTAGGCCAAACTTGGGGAGAGATGATCAGGCGGGACATGGCGCAACTTGAGCTAACCAAGGACATGACTCTAGATAGAAGGGTGTGGAGGTTGAAGATTAGGGTAGAAGGTTAGTAGGTAGTCGTGCGTCTCCCTTTGTCCTCTCTAGCTCAATAATATTAGCGCTAGTACGGTACCCTTTTTTCCTTAGTTTGCTATATTCGCATGTCTCGTTTCGTTGTTACTTGCCATTAGTATTTCCGTAGTTTGCTAGCAGTACTTCGTTCATATTCTCGTCTGCTGCCTCAAAATTAGTTTTCTAAATATGTTATCTTGCTACTACTTGTTATCAGTACCACTTTCATATTATCTGTTGCTATCTTCGATTTAGTTTTCTAATTATTGTCTTGCTATTACTTGCTACCAGGGCTTCTCTCACCTTCTTTAGCCGAGGGTCTATCGGAAACAGTCTCTTTGCCCTTCCAGGGTAGGGGTAAGGCTGCGTACATCCTACCCTCTCCAGACCCCACTTGTGGGACCACACTGGATTGTTGTTGTTGTTGTTGTTGTTGTTGCAAAAGATAATATTCATTAAATAAGCGTATGCGTAGAGAGGGTGGTGCATATCTTGCACCCTATTACAAACTACTAAACTATTACTATTAGTATCTAAGTTGTTTGTGGTATTCTTACTGGAACTATCAGCACAACAACATTGCACATTTGATGGTGGTTGATGTAGATCACAGTTGCCACTTTGAAAAACATTCCCATGGATTAAGTCACAAAGCACGTCAACTATTTCATCAGTGTCCATTTTTTTTGTGTGTGTTTTCATGACTATCATTGGATAGGATTTAACAACATTAGAGTGTTCCCACTTGTTCACTAGTGCATATTGCGTAGTTTAAAGCTATGATATTCATACGACAATTTCCTTAAACAGTGTGACCCTTTTAAGGTTTTCCTTAAGCTACACAAGAGTGCCTCCATCAGTTCCTTCTGCTATTAAAGACCTTAATCAGACCAGCCAGAAGATATCGAATTACAATAGTTCAAAACTAATATGCTGTCATCTAGTGCGGATACAAAATTATAGGTAAAAATTAAGTACCATCTATCATCATAGAAAGAAGGCACAAATGTACCTTCCACTGAGGTTTCCTTGACCAAAACCTTTTACCCCTACCCCTTGTGCGAAGCACCACCTGACCGACTTCAAGAGGTAGGAGGTTGCTAATTGCGTCCATTTGAACAAAATATACATTACCAGCAACAAATATCAACTGCCATTTCTCCTATGACTTGGTAGAGAGAATGGTTGCTGCTGTAAACACCGCTTCTTTACCAAAAGATAGGATTTCTGTGTTCCTGCATCATATGCCAGCTTATTAACAGATCTGAGCTAGACACCGGAAAAGCTTTTACAAGGAAATGAAGAAATTGCTTCAACAGTCTATTACCACATTAGTATATGATATGATGAGGCATGAACAAAAGTTGCCTTCTAAATAAGGAGAGGAAATCCTGGAGTGCAGAAAAACTTATTAAATATACTAGGAAATCTAATTTCTTAGTGGACTTTTGTTCGTCCATTTGCTTTTCTAACAACTATAGCACTAATCCAACTCAAAGGTAGTCATTCTAATCATAATTATCTGGGCCAAATGTGCCCTTCTGATCTTATTTCCGAATAGATTTTACTTCATCCAGTTTAGCTTCTACATGGAATTGCGCAACTCGAGTAACGTGTTTAAGCTAAACTCTAATAGGAACATGATACATATAAAATTCACGAAAAAAAGACAAAATATGCTACTTCAATTGTCATGTTGCAGATTCTTATACTCTTCATCTCTACCCAAATATTCGGGGAATCTAAAAGCCAGTAGGTGCCTACCTAATTCATTATGTGAAGCTTGTGCAATGGCTGGTTCAAAAATAATATACGAAGGCGACCGAAAATCTTTGAAGAAATTAAGCAAATTTATCTGTAGGCGAGAGCAACCAATCAACACACAAGTAAATCTTACTTGTCTTCTTTTCTGATAGAAGTAAAAGCGGCTATTATGTGCTTGCAGATTTCAGAGAGAGAGCTTCCTTTCACTATCTCTTCGGGATCATCAACATGTTCAGCAGAAGATTCCACTGATACTGACAAGTAAGCCTATAAGAGAATGAAATACTTATCCTGGTCAGAATAGAACAAAATGATTATCTATAAATGAACTCAAAGCCCTTTTGCAGCAACGTCTTCTGGAAATTCTGCAAGTGAAAGAACTATTCTAGGAATCAAAATAGGATATTAAACGAATCTGTTTGCTAGTAAGAATAATCACCAAAAAGGCATGTCCTAGAAGCAGCTGAGCAACATCAGCTCCAATTTTTTTGATGATATTCTTTGTGCTGCTGCTGTTTGAGAAGCACTTCAGAACACCTTCAAATGTGGAATCGTTCCCTGGACTATTTGATCTCCTAGTACGAACAGAAGACTGCAATATCAATTAAATTAAAGTAGTTTTAATAAGACTGCAACATAGAGTACATTAAAGTGGTTTTAATTTCTCAAAATTTTAGCTTGTAACCTTTGTATTAAACCAGGCCAAGCTTTTTGAGATGACACCTCAACAATATATTGTACAGGAAAACCACCAACTGAACCAAAAACGAAAAGCCTTTTGAAATTCCCTAAAAAAGGAAATGCGAACGATTCATTTGTTGAAAAAGTAAGTGTCACAACTAAGGACTTATGAACTCCAAGGAACTTGCTTGAACATCATTTCTCATCTAGGAGATTAGGGAAATTATGCCCCAGATTTCCCAACTCACAGTAAATATCTTCCATAAAGTAGCCGGCAAACTCTATCTCTACTCC